AGTAAGTATAAAAAGTATTTTATTTCGATTATTATTTTGAATGTTTTTTATTTCTTCTCTTCTTGTTTTTTCCCAGACTCAAGGACCATATCCAAGTGAAGAAAGGTCATCTGATGAAGACTTTGTATTTACAAGACGTAAGTTTGTTAAATCTGTATAGTTATTATGACCACTTTATTGTATCAATGGAATAAATTTATATTGGAACTGCAAAATTATTAATGTCCTTAGTGAGTTTGCGTGAGTTTAGGTGAGAAATGACTCCTCCCTGAACGGGTTCCCGCCTTATCATGGCGGGGGGAGGGAGGGGGGGTTAGTAGCCCTGGCTTGGTAACCTATGGTAAATGTAGGGCGACTCAGATGGCTGGCCTGAAGTGAAAGGCTGGCCAAGGTGGCCACTCCGAGTGGGCTTGTCGAGCCCTTGGATGAATGTTAGTGAGCTGCGGCTAGAGGAGAGTCCTCTCTTTATATCGCTGCAACCGAGGTGGAGTCGCAAGAGAAGAAGATTGTTGGTAAGGTAATGCGCCACTCGACTATCTTCCGCGACTTCGACGGAACTGTACCAATTGGTGCTTTCGAGTGCTCGTTTTTTCTTGGCTCCATAGCCTCCACATATCGGGATCGGGAATTCGGGGAGGGAAATCCTCAACTAAGGAGGGGTCCTCGCAGGTTGGGCCGCGGATGTGTTTGAAAGCGTTTTTGTGGCCCTGTCAATATGTGGCGAAGGCGGAACATCATGGGTTTTAGTAGGTGCAAGTCCGACATAATCCGTTCTTGCCCCCGCAATGCAGGTATGAGTGGGCATTTTCTCATTTGAAACCCGGAACAAAATCCATTCTCTAATTACGAATAAAAACGTAGATCGATCAACGCAGCGTCGATCTTGGTTTTATATGAGGTATAAAGCTTGCGTCTAAGGCCTAGGTATTAATTGAAACATTTATTTATTGTATGGCATTATATTAATATGATATATAAATAGAATGAACGTTACGGGTAGGTACGTGGTATAGAATAGAATTTTTATCGATATATTTTTTCACACTGTCGGATCTCTATTATTAGTTCCGTGGACGTTCACTTCTGCTGTCAGCGCCAAAATGGCGAAAATCAAATCGCCTCATTATGTCACGGTGTATAGCCAGTCCATATATAAAGGTCAGGGTGTTCCCTACATCTCTTCATGTAGTTCCATAGTGCTTCCATGAAGTGAAACAAAATTTCCGTACTTTAACACTAAAAAGGAGATGGTTATAAGTAACAATTATAGAAGTCAGCTCTGAGCTTAATTCCTTTTATACAGCACTAATTACATACATTTTGCTTATTGGACTTCTGCTCAGACTTGGATCTGTTGCTCAGACTGACTATACATATCTTTATAAATTTTATTTGAAACAATTTTAAATGTTAAATGAAAAAAAAAAACATCATACCCCGATTTTCAATTGTTTATTGTATTTATTAAGCATTAACAAAAGCTACAAATTATTTGGTAAAATAAAGGTGGATTCGATATAAACATGGCTAAAGCTATTTATGTGAAAGTATAGAGCAACAGAGGAGGGGAGTAGCCATAGCGTTAATTTCCGATAACAAACTGTTTCTCATTTTTTGCGGGGGAAATCTGAGCCAAGCACAATTTTTCAAAGTATGAAAGTAATATTAAGTTTCTGATAATACTAGCTTGGTGCCTTTTCTTTTGGTGCGATTTTATTTCTACGCATGTAAACAATTAGTGCAAATGATGAATAAAAAGTGATCCGATGTAAATTTAAAGTTAGTCTTTTAGGCGCCTTGAGATTGTCGCTTGTCGTCAAAATCTCCCAAAAACTTCACAATATGACGCTTCAACATATTGTAAAGAGCTTTTATACAAACCAATATCAATCACAATTTCTTATTACTTGACACTAGCAAAATTATAACCGTACGATGGCATAATCGAAGAAAAAAAAACAAAGAGTATATAATCACTATGCTTGCAAAGATTTTGGGAGATTTAGACGACAAGCGACAACTACCTAATCTATTAGTGTACTATCTGGATCATGAAGCAAATACAAAGTTTTGTATTTGCTTCATGATCTGGATAGTCGGTGATGGTTGACCGCGATAGTGTTTTGAATCACCTGATATACTGTACCCATAGAATAATAAATATGTAGCAAGCTAAGGCTTCGTTCAAACAGGCGAATCCCGCACGGGACGCGGGACGCGATTCGCTCGCACCGATTGCGTCAGCAACTTGTATGGAGGTGTTTACATCGGCGCGAATAACGTGCTGTATTCTGTGTGCTGATTTTCGAAATGCCTTGAATCTGGGGGCACGGCAGTGCCCCCGCCAAGTCGAGCAAGCGGCACGGCCGTACCATCCTTTTCTCGAAGCAGTTCAGGCCATTTTCGAAACACTATACCTTCGTGGTAGATAAAACTAGAAGCCTGAATTTTAAATTGTAACCAAGTAGGCATTGTATAAACTCTGTATATTTCAAATTTCATTAAATTTGAACCAATAGGCTAAGAATTATGACTAGTCAAAGTTTCTTAATTTTATCACTTTATTCACTTTAGCAGACATAGAAGCTTCAAATTTGGAATACAATTATTGTTTAGTATATTAATCAAGTAAAAACTAAAATATTTTGCAATTTTACTTTTCTTTAAGTTATTCTATATTCTTTTCTTTTCATTAAGTTATTCTGTTGTCAGATTTAAAAAAGTTGGCTGTTAATTTTAGGGCAAATTATTTTTACTTAGATCGGACAGTGTTTAGCTACTGGTGACAACAATTCATCTTCTGCGTCACTGGAATCACTTTCACTAACGCTCTGTAACTCTATAATAAAAGGTTCATCTAAATACGCGTTAGTCTGTATTCATTTTAATTTTTTTTCAATTTCCACTCCACCAGTGTAATTTTATGGTCTGCATCTTTAATTGTTTGGGGCATTTGAACAACATATAGGTTTTCCAACATTTTGTCTGCTATGTTCCTTTTCATAGAGCTACATATCATTTCAATTGCGTTCAAGTCGCAATGATCAGGTGGCAATCTAAGAATATTATTGCCATGACTTTCATCAGGCTATCAATGCCATATTCCGGAGCAGGTTTATTTCTCTTTATAAACTCATATTTTTTCATATGTTTTATTTAATTCGGTGTGGTAGGAATTTCTTTCCTCACTGAATAAAATTCGTGAACTTTTCTTTTTGTCCAATGTCAAAATTATCAATTTCTTGTTTACCAATTTATCTTTGCCTTTTTTTGCCAGGGGCAGAAGTTTTAAAATTGGATTCTTCAGCGTGTTTTACTTCATTGACGAGTTTGTGTACAAATCGCTCAGAAACACCTGTAACAAAACGACAAATAATTATTATATAGGTATAATTAAATAAAAATAAGCCCGTAAATATGCCCTCACTAAAGCTACTTCCTAGACCACAAACTACAAACCCTGGTATTTTCGATGGATGACAGTAAATTGAGATAATTTTATGTTTCACGAGTACATTATTTGGTGATTTTAATTTTCTATATCTGGCAATACTAACCTGTCGCAGCAGCAACGCGTTCATACAGCTTTTCAAATGGTATAATTGGGACTTGGAAACGTTTCTCTTCTTTCATAGAAGGTAAAACTTTTAGGACAATCTGCCTCGTATCACCTTTAAGAGCTTTAGGCATTTTATTTGCACTTTTTAAAAAATAACTGACAGCGAAATGTCATTTACAAAATGGCGGCCTTAATTCCAATTTTGTCCACCTGAACAGATAAGTTGGTGGCACTATAATAAATAGGCTTGCCAACTTTAAAGGATTTTCTGGGACGTCCTGTATCTGGACATAACATTTCAAAATTTAAGCTGTCTCGACAAGTACTCTTGCGTGTCGCCTAATGTTGAGAAAATTATAGAACAAAAAAATAAGAATAAATAAACATTAAAACTTTGTACGATTATTTGTATTTATCGAAAAAACATCGGACCCCTAACCCAACATTTATTAAATACTAGCAATCCGCCCGGTTTCACACGGTTGATTTCTGGATCTCGACAACAGCGCCATCTACCGGGTTCAATTGTGAATCTAAACCATCGAGGGACCCACTCAAATATAAACAAAAAAATCTATTAATACATTAATAGCATAGTTGTAGTACGAATGGATCGGCTCGACCGGTGAACGACCACGCTCTCTCACAGAATACCAGCGTAAAATAGCAGCTTAATGCTGCTGTGTTTCGTATGGTGAGTGTAGAGAACCGGAGACCCTTTTTACTGGACAAGAGGCATTCCATCTTAGCCGTCACGGGTGACAACCACAGAAGTGACAACCATGAAGTTATAGACTTCATGGTGACAACGCATCTTCTTCTTTCTTAATAACTGACTTTACGGCTTTGGGATCTAGCCCTTCTGAGCCTGAAGTTACAATAAATTATAATAATAATTATCCTTCATAGTATACTGCTTCACAATGTATTGATGCGTCACATTGTGCAGCCCTTGGGAGATTTTGACGACAACATGAGCCAGCAGACAGCTGACGGTTGGCGATGGTATCTCAAGGCGCCTAAGCAGACAGACACCTTATTTTGAGAATCACATCACCATCAGAGCACTTGTTTCACAGTTTCCACTAATAGTTCACATGCGCAGACACTTAATACACAAAATCGCACCACTTTTACATATCAAAATCCACTTCAAACCATTATTTTAACAATAATACAGGAACAACAAACCGCCGCCGGTCAAGTTCCCGCCAAAACTTCTACAACGCATCTGCATTTTGATTCTTTATAGAGTATAGATGTAGATATCTATGGGTCACAGCAATCACTTACCATCAGGTGGACTGTTTGCTCGTTTGTCACCATATCCTATAAAAAAAAATTAAAATAGGTCCAGCCGTTTTCGAGTTTTTGCGAGAACAATGGGCAGCACTTGATTTTTTTATGTAGAGATTTCTAAAATTATTTCGTTATTTATTTTAAAATCTTTATTACATTCCCTTACAAATAAAGGATACAAAGGGCGGACAGTCAACCCATGGAGTGGTGAGAATTTGACATAGGTGTAGATAGCAATTGAAAGAAAAGAAACTTAAATACACAAATTTATAAGTTCCTTTAAGAACTTCACCTCACATGGACCATATCATTACAGTAAAAAATCTCGCAAATGAATTTTGTATTTAACAAACTTAGCAATAAGCAGAGATGATTAAATTAAAAGCGATTGCGATCATTGAAATTATTTTTAATTTCCAAATCCAAATAAATGTACAGTTAAAATAATCATAACATTTTGTCCGATATAATAAAATAAACTCGTACAACTACTGACAAGATTTTTACCTTTTTTAAAGGCTTTGGAATGGCATCCGCAACAAATTTACAGCATTTCAATACAAGGAAAGCACTCCGTGATTAACGAAAGTAGAATTAGAGTTTAAAAACCTAAACCAACAGCTGAAATGATCCTACTGAGAATACTAGGTCTTAGTCACGAAATTATTATTGTCATAGATTCTTAGTATGCCTGTAAAATTCCAGATTATTCAGACGTCTGAAATTGGATTAAAACTGGGTTAAATAATTTCATTACATTCATACACACATACAGATCAAGCTAATAAAAGGCGAATATTAAAATAAACACACTGTTTTAAATTGCGACTTTAAAATGACTGTTCTGTTTACATTAGACTGACGACAGTGTTTAAGGAAACGGAAAATAAGAAGTCTTAAAAAACGCAAGAAAAATATTGCCTTCCTCATACAGCCTTTGCCATTCCGTATTGTATTATATCTATATCACTATCGTCAAACTAATATTGTCGTAATTATACAGACTACTGAATCATGGCTAAAAATTTACTCTCATCTGCTTCTCTATGCTTTATACATTATATAAATTATTATGAATGTTCACACAATTATACTTACTTAAATGAAATTGCAAGTACATCCAACAATTATTGTAAATTATAAAACAAACATTTTTTTTCTAAGTGATAATATATGGTTCGTTCATATTAAAATAGATTCGGCTCTTTTAAATAAAAAATAGACAAAAGGTCACTGGTCTCTGTAACTGGAAACTATTAAGACACTTGATGCGGCGAGTATAAAAATAGTCGCTTATAGGAAGGCAAGTTCTTAAAACATAGCAAATTCGTATGAAATATAGTATTAAAATCGTATAAAGAAAGCAGTCATAATATGTTGTCATAGCAAGCAACTAGTATCATTATCGACTTGAAATACATGAAAATGTTGCTATCTACAAAACAAAGAAAATTATTACATGTGCGCTCTCATAATAATATGGGAAATAAACCCTCTATGCTTAAGTATTGGTTTTATTAATTATATATCATCATTTTCGTAACTGTGATGGATAAACAATGTGATTAATCAAAAGTATAACTCGCTAAGGAAATGCTACCATGAATATGACTTTAATATTCTTATGCTAGTTGTATCATATTAGGCAAGAGTATCTTTCAACATTTTCTGACATTAATAATGATTTGCCATAAATTAACATCCAATTCTATTAATTAAAACACACGTTATATACTTTTTCCTTACATTTTTTATGCCATGCATTTCCATTTGTTCGTGGTAATACTACTGATACATTTGCTATATATTTTCTTTGTAGAATTTCATTATATTGTTCTAACTTTGAACTATAATTATTTTCTTTCAGAGAAGTAAGGCCAAGAAACTGTTATGGGAAAATAAGTGCATGTAATGAATCTGATAATATTAAGAATGAACACATTTAAGGGCCTTATGATGCTTGCCCTTATCTATAGTACATTATCTGTGCTAAGGTACAATCTCATAATGAGATTTCATATCTTACAACAGAGCGATTAATTTATAACATTTTAGGCCAAAATTTTTAGAGCAGTAGATATTTATATATTACACATTTTACATAATATACTTTGAAGATGAATGGGACATAACAAGATCATATGCTATTTTTTATTATTAAATATTACGAGTAACTTAAAAAAATGGGTTGCAATTTTGAAATAATATCCATATCCAAATATAAAATATAAATATAGTACACGTGCATTTTTTGCAATATTGCTTGGATATTGTATCTTTATCTCACAATGTTCTTCCCTATTTCATGTGTAAATATTATGGATCATATAATTTATATTTACAGAAACATGTGCTGTCGAATTTAAAAATATTTGTCTTCTCTTCATATTGTCTGACTGTAACATTTAACCATAGCTTTAATTACATACACTACACAATAATATAATATAATTTTTGACATATTTAGGTTAGGCCACCATAACATTATCATATTGCCTTCATAAAAACATTATGTCAATATCTGTCATCATAGTCTGTACTATGCAATAACTATCAGTCAATTAATTTTACTCATACATCATATTTCACTGTGTGATCATAGAATTTTCATATACATTAAAAATGAACAACGATATAGTAGGTCAAATGAATTAACTAAACCGTTATAGCTTATCATATTTCTATGAATCCTAGATCTATGATCATTTACTTATGATATTGTAACAGCGGCCTGACACTACAATATATATTCGCAATTTCATTATCACGGCAGCTTGACAAAATATGTTTCAAAAGGTGACTTTGGTTGGCTAACCATAGCGACCCAATGAAGTCCACAGATATATGGTTCAAAATAAACGTCTTTTTAAGCATCTAAATAATGTCAAATAACAAGATATTCTTGATCATATTATGTTAGTAATAACTGAGGCATAATCATTACACTTCCAATTTCAATGTGAAACCGATTGGTAATATACCAAAAATATTATTCCATTTAATATACACTGTTAAATGATTATTCTTTCGAGCACTTGAGACGGGCTACACAACATGTACAGAGTTATCTGGCGAGCTGTTGTTAGTCACTAGCCGACTTCGCTTTTGACATAGAAAAGCAAGTATGGAGTGGCTGCTGAACGCATTTTGGGTTCCGCAGATAGTAAATCTTCGAACTCCTCGTTGGAAATAGGTTTCACTATGTCGTCGTCGCAGGCTAACCAGCACGCTTCTGGTCGTGGTCTGGGCACACAACAGTCTTTAGCCGCGCAGCCGCTGGGTGGTGGTCTTGGCCTGTTGAAGAGTGTCCTCATGAAACTTGAACTGCTATTGGTGGTGGTTGCGTCCCCACTTCCTTCTCTTTCGCATTTAAAGTCGCCGTTCGAACTATCACGTGCGTATGCAACATAATGTCCTCCGGTTAATGTCTGTCCAAGATGCATTATCACTGCCCAAAGAATGTACCTGGAATTTATATATTGGTTAAAATTATTTATTTAGTTACTAAAAATACTGGCCTAAAATCTCACATTGACACCTGACCAAATATACTATTTCGAAACATATCTCAGTACTTAAACATGGTTTTAAACCACTGTGTACTATAAAAAAATTAACTCGTTAATAGAGACCTTGTATACATTACCCCATGAATTAATTACTGACTGTGGGGACGAGTAACTGGTGTCACTAGTGCTTGTTCTAGGTTTTTATAGAGAGTATGTCTTTTGTTTTTATAAAAAATTATAATCCTTATCGCAGACTCACGACATCATAATGATTACATTTTATTATCCAACATTGACGTCAGTATCAATCATAAAAAGCATAGCCACAACTGTAACAGAATTTACAATTCTGTTTACAATGTATTATAAATATTATATTTGAGTGAAGTTAGTCACATTTAACTTTTTTTGGCCAACTTTATACTGTCAAAATTCTGTTATATTATAAAGGGTTATTTTTCAAAGAGTAGTCAAGTTTCAAACATAAGTTCAAATATATAAATAATGATATACCGTTATCGCAGTTTTTGAAAATACGAGTAAATAAAGCTTCTACTTTTATTTGGAATTATTCCAAATTGAATATGATTTATGGGCAACACAATGTTTTTGGCTACCGATCGACACTTACGGATGTGTGCGTGCAGTAAAATCAGTTAAAATAATGCATTACCACGAATTTTGAATTTAAAAGGTAAAAAGGACTGAATGTGTGAGATTTTTTTTTGATTAATTTTTCTTCAACATTTGTCTATATTACTTATTCTGAACCATCTCTGCAAATTTGGTCGGTCATTGCAAAATAACCCTGTATGTATGTAAGATCCATTGCAAAAGATAGAATAAAATAAATTTTGTTCAATATAATATGTAGATTACAAAAATAGTTATTGAAAGTAATTTTTTACTTTTACCACGGATATAAAGATAACTTCAAAAACTCTCCAGTGCGATAAAGCAAATCATGTTGCTTATCTAGCATTGGTACCTGTGTGTTGGCTGCTGGTCCGGAGGCCGCTTGGCGCAGGGTTCGCAGAAGCACGGCATGAGCAGTGGCGTGGGCGCGTGCCGAGTGATCTTCTCCATGCCGCCGCTGAAGCGCTTCAGTTGCAGCACGAGTAGACGAGGCAGTCGTGAGTACGCGACACTGCGCCGCGCTTCGTTGTAGCGTAAACAGCGCTCACACCAGTACTGTGGAAGAACAAGGATTTATTTTTAAAATCTATATATGACACGCGAGTCAGTCCAACTGATTGTAAGTGGATGCTGTGGCCCATAGACATCTACATTTCTTCTCGATTAAGAATTGCACACATTTTTTTTATTTTCACAATCACCCACTTTCAAATTCTTTATAACAGTTGGTTCACCTTTAAAAAGCTTATATCTAGCAGTCTATTGAAAAGGCCGATAGATAAGATAAAATAATATTCATCAGAATAAGTTAATGTGTTTACAGACAGGTAAAAAAAACACATAATACAAAAATTATAGATTAAAAAAAACGAATGTCTAAAGCCTGGGCAATACTGGCTTAGCAACGCGAGCGTAGGCAAATTGATACAAGGCGAGTGCTACAGTCTAAATGTTGGCCAAGTTTGAACGAGTGAACATACTGACATGGCCGATTAAACATGTAGACGCGACTTGCAGAGTGCAGGCGAGCACCTTTCATTTGTGCAGCAAAACCAACACTGTTTCAAAGTGAGACGAGTCGTGGCAAGGCTCGCCAAGTGAACCCTATACACATTGGCGCTCATCTGCACTCGGTCAGCTAGGCGCATAGATTACTGTATAATATATATACTAGAGATGGCTAGGCGAGCGACGACGAGCAATGGCGAAACTAGACAATTGTTCTATCTATACGTTCGTACTCGCCTACGCTCGGCCAACATGTATAGGCGTCTTAAGCTATGGTCCCGTATCCACATAATAAAAGATATATATTGAGTGAATTTTACTTAATTAAATCAATAACACCACCTTAGTGCTCAGATATTCAGTTTTGTACCTAAAAACACTATTATGTCACAAGTTTAGCACCCCAGTTTTAAATATTTTAAGTAAGTGTTACATATACATAAATGTGTATGTACCTTATTCTGATCACGCAAGTACTCGCTAGTGAGGCATGCAGCTCGGAATGGTTCATCACTAGGCACTTCATCGTCTCCCACTGGCACGCACAATTCACAAACAGCTTGAGATTTTTCCGTCACTACTTCACATTCTACACACATTGTACGCACGACCATTGTTCCTGCAAATAAGTTAAATATTACGTGTATGAAATAAAGAGCCCTTGGTAGCTCAGATGGTTAGTGCGTTGTAAATTTCACAATACGCGAGCAACCCTGGTTCGATTCCCGTCGGCACCTATGAAATTGTGAATTGCAATTTTAAGTGATTACTCGATAACACACACGCGTTGGCGGAAGGGGCGGAGCATGCGGCCGCGGCCAGCCGCTCGCAGATCGCGCCGTGGCCGCACGGGTGTGCAGACTCACTTACATTGCAAGTGAATACAACTGGCCGCCACCGCAAGCCGCTTCTGTGTGGGACACGCTTAATACTATATAGATTTAGTATAAAATGACGCTAGAATAGATTGGCTACATAAAAGAGAAAGAGCAGTGTATGAGCTTAGAGCGAGAAAGATAGGCGATACAAATACAACCTATGGATATTGAAGACAATCTTATCTCATATCTCTTATCACTGAAAATGTCTTCCTTATTCCCAACAATATCATAAATATACATGTTATCATCAAACTATTTTGGTTTTAGTAATGTTTGGGATTTATACTTACTAATCAATCAATACAAATATAAACAATGTTCCCACACTGTGCATGTGTGTCATTTAAGAAAAAATCTTTTTCAATGATTATTATTGACAACAATAAACACAATTAAATTATACATGATGTTTGTGTTATCCTTACACAACCAGTTTTAAAACATCTCCCTTACGTAATCTTATAATTGGGACATATTATCCTTTAGTCATCTTAACTTTAACCATATTTATTTAATAACTAATGGTATTTGGGATCACATCAATCATACAATCAATCACACAATAAATTTAAAAATAGTCTTAATACCACATTTGTCTACCTGAGCACTATTTTGTCGGAATTACTAAAAGGATTTTCCATTGATTTTAAAGTACCTATAAATGCTGAATGTACCTACAACTTTGTCTTATACTATTAATTATTGAACAGCACACTATATTAACTTATAATACCAGTGAAAATTACTGGACGATCGCTTTTGATTTGCTTTATTGACATTTAATTTTTTTTATAGGATAGGGGTGAGAAACGAGCACACAGTTGCCGTGGCCCATAGACATCCACATCTATCCTCGATTACGAATCAAAATGCAGATGCGTTGTCACTCGTGAGGACTAAGATGGAATGCCTCATTTCCAGTAAAAAGGGTCTCTGGTTCTCTACACTCACTATACTAAACAGAGCAGTGTTAAGCCACTATTTTACACTGGTATTCTGTGAGAGCGTGGTCCTTCCCCGGTCGAGCCGACCCATTCATGGTACAACTATACCAGTAATATAGCTGCAGCATGGCTCTAACACGTAAAAATATAAATATTAATTGATAAAAATGAAATATTTTGTAATAGAGTAAGTAATAATAATTAAAAAATTTGTACCACCAACTTCATTTCATTAAAATAATTAAAAATAACTCAAAAACTATTGGTCAGACTTTGATCAAATTTATCATATTTAGTGGTCCCACTACATGAGAAACACCAGCTTTCAAATAAAAAAAGAATCATCAAAATCGGTTCACCCAGTAAAAAGTTATGAGGTAACACACATAAAAAAACATACAGTCGAATTGAGTTCATCGTCCTTTTTGAAGTCAGTAGAAAATTCAAATGAATTTTTATTCATACATTTCTACACAACACACACTATAGTATAGTATAATGAAAGTTACCTGCTTTTTTAACATTAAAGACCAAATCAATATTTTACTAAACTTAATTTTCCATAAAAGTTCTCTGCTAAAGACCTGTTGCAATGTGACAAAATACATTTGGAACTTCAAATTTAAAACAAAATTATGATAAAAATGTTGAAGAGTCAAAATTTTGATCTACCTTCAAAGTCATCCGCTACAAAGTCCCATCCAGGGCGTGAGCGCTCTTCCCTTTCTGGATCGGCAGGAGATGGAGCTCGTTCTTCTGTAGGTGAGTGCCGCTTCTCACTTGCTTTAATTTCCTTCCGTTTTTTCCAGGATTTGCGTAAATTGCCAAGTGTTGGCTTGCCAGCGTCACCATCTATGGTGGGCTGGCGACCGAGACCATTACTGTAAACAAAAATTTATAAATGAGCAAAAAATACTATTGTATTGGAGAAGGGTAACGTTCAAATGTTACTGATCATAATGAAATATTCTTTGTATTTGTTTTTTTTTTAAAGATGTTACCCCAAACTAGGATTTTAAATTGCGCAAGAACAATCATCCTGACCCGGAACAATTACTTATAGGTCATACCAAATATATGTTCCGTACTAAATTCAAAGTCGCTGCGCCACGGAGCCGTCAAATTAGTAGAGAAGTACTAAAGAAGTACTCTTACTAAAGAAGAAATTACCAAGAGTATTGAAGCAAACATTTTTATATCTTTTAAAACAATATAGTGATAAAAAAGGTAAGTGTATTTAATTGTAAGAGTTTACTGCAGCCACGCTTTAATATGTGCCGATTGAAACTAATATTTATGTTTAAGTCCGGAAAAAGTTCTAATAATGATAGCAAGTGGTAAAATTAAAATTTTGTACAACCGATTTCAATATAAATAAAATGAGAACATCATCAACATAGTCGAAGTCAATCAAATACGCATTATTAAGGATAACTCAAAAACTACTAGTCAGATTTTGATCAAATTTATATGGGACCACATGAGAATCACTAAAATTGGTTCACCTAAAAAAAGTTGTAAGGTACACATAAAAAAATACAGTCGAATTGAGAACCTCCTCCTTTTTTGAAGTCAGTTAAAAAGACTTCAATATCAAATAAAAAAATGTGAAAGAAAAATACTATATATTTATTATTTATCGAAGCGTCAGTAGCCTAATGGCAGGGCGCGGACCGCGAACTCGAAAGGTCGTGGGTTCGAATCCGCCATTCGACTACTGTCGTGAACCACTTCTAACACAAGCATTTTAAGCTTACCAGAAGTGGTTAAAGGGAATATTAGTAATGTTTAATAGCATTACTAGTAATTTTGTTTAAAAAAAAATAATTATTGTTAAGGTAATTTATAAACTTTAGATGTTTGTAGTACTAAAAAATTTAAATAATTAACAATAAATGCCTTTCTCACCTATCACCATTTTCTTGTAGTTGTAGACGTGACGCACGAGAACTGAGCGCTCGACAGGTTTCTCTGATATTGTCTAATATACATACTAGAAGTTCGTGGGCGTCTTGCTGCCTGTTACCTGCATTAAAAAATAAGATGTTAATATGTGCACTTGGTGCATTCAGCTATCAAAACGAGGCTCTGAAGGCCAACTAAAAATTTCACTAAATAAGCCGAACGCAATTTGCACGCACTGGTTAAGTATTACCTATTGGGTTTCGACACCACACTTACCAACCACTCCGTCTGCTCATCATGGTGTATTTTTTTGCGAGCACACAGTACACTTGATGGTAAGTGGTTGTTGTGGCACATAGACATATTTGCGAATCAAAATGCAGATGCGTAGTCAGCCGTGAGGACTAAGATGGAATGCGTCTTTTGCAGTAAAAAGGGTCTCCGGTTCTCTACACTCACCATACGAAACACAGCAGTGTTAAGCTGCTATTTTACGCTGGTATTCTGTGACAACGTGGTCCTTCCCCGGTCGAGCGGACCCATTCGTGCTACAACTATGCAATTAATATAGCTGCAGCATGGCTCTACCACGTCAAAAATATAATTCCGTATGTTATCCGAACCCGCGGCCTCGCGGTCGATTGCTTAGCACTGTGCTACTGAGGAGTCAGCATTCCTTATTGGAAAGGCCTTAAATCCATAAAATTGTAGTATATGATAATTATATTGTGTGGTGGCCCAAATTAAAATAGTAATGGGCAGGTTACTTTGCAAGATATAAGGACAAAAGATTGACAGTTGAAACAACTTGATGGACAGGATCTAACAGCATAAGGCGAACAGGTAGGAAATACTAGGAAATTTTGGGCAGACAACATCATAGTTAATGAGGGCGCACAATGGATGACCACAATAACACGGAAATCTGCAGTAAGCTGGAGTAGACCTATTCCCAAGAAGCGGTTCCTAACAAGGATTCCGAATAAATTATTTATTACATTAAGAATTAGTATAATCAAATAAAACAATTTTTACGGATTTTTTCGCGTTTAACTTAAGTCACTATTGTGTTTGTTTGTCTGTAGTTCCGGGTGGAATTTTGAAAATCAAATTTCGAGCACTTTCAGATGAGTTAGATACTTCAAAATTTGAACATAGCTAAGAATCGGATGACAATGTAGGAATATGAAAATAAATGTGGCATATTACATTTTTTTATATATAATTGACAACTGTGTTTATTTATGCTACACATTGAATAAAACATACCCCGACGATTATATTTTATTCAATGTGTAGTGTGCGCGTTAATATAAGGAATCATTATTAGTATAATCAATAATATAAGAAAAGTATGTAAAATTATAGAAATATAAAAAATAATAGTGACATTGTGTGGTGTCTGAACACTTGCCGCAATGTGGTAAATGTACATGCTCATGTCACCCTTCTTATTCTAAATATGGATACAATTCTTGGTTTAATCCTGTGTTATATTTTACCTAATTGACAGAGACATTGTTAATGCTGTATGTAAACAACCACTTTTATGTGGCTTCTCTTAATGCCACTACATATACAATGTCAATGTCACACTATTTTCTACTGGAATTAGTTTTAACGATAGAAACACCAATCAGCATAGCATTTTTTATGAATACACAATGATATCATTACATAAGAAACTTTCAATTTAAGATTCTCCCTCTAAATTTAAAAAGTTAGACAGCAAAAATCATGTGTATTTAAATATACTATTACTGTTGCAGCCTATTCCTATTAGTTTTTAATGTGGTAGAGCCATGCTGCAGCTATATTAGTAGTATAGTTGTAGCACAAATGGGTTGGCTCCACTGGAGAAGGACCACGCTCTCACAGAATACCAGCGTAAAATAGCAGCTTAACACTGCTGTATTTCGTATGGTGAGTGTAGAGAACCGGAGACCCTTTTTACTGAAAGCGAGGCATTCCAACTTAGTCCTCACTGGTGACAATGCATTTGCATTTTGATTCGCAAATGAGGATAGATGTAGATGTCTACGGGCCACAACAACCACTTACCATCAGGTGGACTGTGTGCTCGTTTGTCTCCCTATCCTATAACAAAAAAGTCCACAGCTGAACATAGGCCATAGGATTGCCTCATAGGGAGGATATTTCACATAGTTGTCACACTTTGCAAGCGGTAGGTAAGCGCAGCTTTTTTATTTTTAGTTGTTATTAGGAAGACGCTGCTGGCCATCTCCTGATTTGTTTACCTCTGTTGTCTCTTACGACACCCACGGGATGATATGGGGTAGTGGATATTCTTACACTGCCATCAAACGGTAAGATTTAAATACACCAACACATAATCATGCACAAAATATATTTTTAACAATACTAAACTAAACTAAAAGCATTATATTTGACTGATTTGTTGGTCTAGCTGTCGTAAGTACCACTGCTTATCGTGAGGTCTTGGGTTCAGCCTAATATAAGTTATTGGATTTTTGTCAAGATTTACTCAGTAACAGCCTGGAGTCAGGAAGTTGGCAGTGTTAAATTCTTGTACATCGGAAAGCATGTAAAGCCGTTGGTCATGCTCTCTCTCTCTCCAGTAGTATCGGATTACCCTCCCTTCTGACTATGATAGTGAGGGAGTAAAGAATCCATCTTTCTTTGTGCTTACTTACACTACTGTGTTCTGGGCAGATGGCTTGCATATTTTGAAACTGACAGCTGTGACCGAAATTCCGTCTGGAAGACAATCTTTCGCTGATCAATTTCTAATGTTGATGTCTATTGTCGACTCTGTCAACTTGAAACTTACATTGTTAGAAAATGCTGAGATCAATTTATATTTGGACTCAGTTGTCCAAAAATAATCTAACATGCTCATCATATATAACATATCATACCTTTTTGGATAGGAAGCTTTTACATCACAGCAAAACATTCAAAATGTTTGTGTTGTGAAGGAAATTATGACAGCAGTGTAATGGTGGTTTGAACTCATGGCTTTTAAAGTTGACAACTTGGTGAGATGGATTACTTGTATAATTATTTGTTTTACTATAAATCGTTTTCTATTTAAATAATATGAAAGTAGAAATCGGGGCTTTAATGTTCCTATATACTGTCTTAATCACCATGTTCTGAAGCTATTATGTCGAAATTACTTTACTTTTATTTATTTGAAGTACGCTTTTAATTTAATAAAGTCTAATTTATCTTTTGCATAATGAAATTCGATTTGAACAGCATGCTGTATGTGAGCATAGTGTGTTATATTCGTAGAATATCCTATAGTAAATTCTTACCCTCAAATGTAGAGTTAACATCCCTAAGTGCAGCGAGAAAGGCATCAGCGGCGTAAGGCTCAGGGCTAGCATCACCCGAGCCACTGTTTAAGCACTTGCTTTCAGCTGCTCGGAGGTTTAGGTAGGTCTCATGTAGTTTCTCTGTAGCTATCTGAGAATCAAATTTGACATTATTATTTTTTTATAATAGGATTTACATTTAATGGTAGTTCTATTGCACATAAACAACTATTAGACTAAACAAGTGTAGTAATATCTAAGTTATTTGAAGTTTTTCATAGGTATTTAAAAAGCCAAATTGTTCTCTAAGTTGTTTTGCTAATTCATCAAGTTGTGGATTTGTAGAAATTAATGCCTAAATTTTGAGTGCAAGTAACTCTTTCTAGTCTAAGTTAATTGCATGTGTCAGTGTTGTCATAAGGGATATATTATGTCATAGCAGTCAGAGTTGATCTTTTTAAGGGCACAAAGTTATAGAACTGCATTTTTTTATATTCAATATGAGTTAAGGTGTAGTCATTCAATAACTTTATATAATCCAATATGGACACTTTGAAACACACCTGGCAAGTTTTTTACGTGATAGAGTAACACAGTAACATTTGCATAATATGAAAAGAAAGAATTGTTCCATTAGTTTTTTTTTTATAGAATAATACAATGTGGTGTGGTTTCCACCACACACCACAGATTGATAATGCATATATAGCCTTCTTTGTTTGAAGTTAGATATAGGTGTCCATAGCCTGCTGTAGCCATTAACTTGGTGAAAGGCTATTGATTTTGTCACTAAATATTATAAAAAAAATTATCTTAACTCTCAAATACTAAAATAATGACAATGATTCAGAGTCCTTTGTAAAAAAAATTCAATATATGTATAATTAGCCGTATTGCGATGATATAGGTCATCATTTAAATAACATCACAGTAACAAAATTTACCATTGGGTAAAATGATAAAAATAGTATCTTAAATTGCCTATCACTGATAAAAAAATTCATGTTATTCACATATATCTTTATAGCAGATAACTGCTGTTGCTTTATGTTTTGCTTAAGATGAAACATGATTAGTTTGAAACAATATAGAAAATTTTTTTGCACATATTTAAAGTTTTACCCTTTTTCACTTTTTACTTTGTACGTAAATTATAGTTAAAACATGTAAATCACTCTGCCCTTATAGTTGGTCAAATTTCAATAGTTTTAAAATGATAATTATTTTTGAAAAATCATAAAGTATTAATAATTGAATATTAAATATGTCATTAATAATCATAAGCACAACTACAAGTGATAATTAAGTCATTAAAATAATTTTTTCAAATTTACATAATCTCTATAAATCAATTGCTGTCCGTTAGTCTCGCTAAAACTCGAAACTGGCTCAACCGATTCTGATGAAATTTGTTGTGTATTTGAGTGGGTCCCTGGGTGATCTAAACAATTTACAATTGAACAGAAATCACCCATCACCCGTGAGAAGCTGGTGCGGTTTGCTAGTAACTTATAACGATGAGCACGCAGTTCACCTGATGGTAAGTGGTTGCTGTGGCCTATATACATCTACATCTATACTCGATGACAAATCAAAATGAAGATGCGTTGTCACCCGTGAGGACTAAGATGAAATGCCTCGTTTCCAGTAAAACGGGTCTCCGGTTGTCAACATTCACGATACGAAACACAGCAGCGTAAAGCTTCCCCGGTAATATAGCTGCAGCATTGCTCTACCACGTAAAAATACTACTAACTACACCCGAATGTGAAGTGAAACTGTTACCTGCCCATATTATGGAGTCCTAGGTATGAAAGTATTAACAACCTAGTAAACATTAGTAAAGTGGGTTGGCAAATCTTTTCATGTATAGGACTATATTTTCTAGAATTCTTCGTACCAAATATTAGAAAAACTATGGATTAATAAATTAGCATTTAACACAATTAATTCGTGCACCAAATATTTTTAGGTTCGTGGCAATAAATTAATATATACTATGTTGTGTTTATTCAGTCATATCTGTCTTATGTTTATTATGTATATATTTTATACATAATATATTATATTCTATGTATATGTGATCATTTGTATTTTGTGGCATTTTAATTTATCCTTGAAAGATATTATGTTTATATATTTACATATAATACTAGTGATCCACTCCGGCTTTGCACGGGTGATGTCTGGATCTCGACAACAGAGCCAAATACTGGACTCCATTGTGAATAATCTAAACCATCTAGGGACCCGCACAAATTCATCAAAATCAGTTCAGCCCGTTTCGAGTTTTGCGAGACTAACGGACTGCAATTGATTAATGTTTTCAACCTTATGTTTTGAGTTATAATACATCTTTCACAATATCACACCTCACCTAAGGTGGACTGGGAGAGAATGCATTAAGTCTGCCCTTTATAAGCTTTTTTTATGCAAGTTGCACAAAATAAATATTAAATTAACATATGTGTATTACTTTATTTGAAGAGTAGATTTTGCTAACTTGCTTTATCTTATTTACCTAGTTGGAAAAACACTCGATTTTGTGATGTTAGTACTAAATATACAGCAATTACTCTTTTAATTTTTAAAAATATTACCTGAATTTTACTTTTTCCAGAACTATTGTCCGACTGTCCAAGTGAAAGTAAGTCCTTACTGCTCCATGACCTAGCTCCAGAAGAAGCCAGTCCAGCTGCACTTCGACCCAGGGAGGAGCTCTTTAACCTTATGCTGCCTAGTTTCTGTTCCACACTGGCCAGGTCTGATACAAGATGGTGGAGATTGTGGAGAAACCGTGGTGCATACCTAAAATATAGAGTTATGTTCATAAAATTTATAAGGGTTATAGTAAGATGACAATAAATTACAGAGACATTTAAATAACTACAGGAAATTTTAAATGATACATGAAATGCAATTACCTATAATACACGTAATGGTAAGTTTTACTCAAAATAGTTCAGTCTTGGGACCAGCCCAGCTAGCATGGGCGGGGGACAAAAATTTTATCCCCTGATTATATCCACTGACAGGAGATAAAATTATCTTGTTATGTCAAACGGGGAGAAGTATATCCCCGTTTGACATAACAAGTAGACATATATCCCCCGTCCGTAGCATGGAGCCAAATGAAAGATAAAATATTATGCTTTTTTGACATTTGAAAGGGACAATTTTATCCTAGTTCATTGGACGTAGGTTGAAGTTTATATCCATACAAAAAAATCTATCTAAGTCTAAGTCTATCTCCCAATTTATCTACTGTGGATATTATATCCACCGGTGTGCCCATGCTCTAAGGGTGGATAAAACTTAGTGAGGGGATAAACATTTTCTCCTTTCCCCGGGGATAAAATTGTCCCTCGCCCATGCTAGCCGGGCTGGCAGTATTCTGCGACGAAACAAGAGTTATTGCGATCTCCAAATTCCCTGGCAATTGTAGTTAATATCTAAATTATTCCTATTGTTATAAGCAGATGAATGACAACAACTTTAATCTTTTAATTTTTTCATTAAAATATTTGTATAATATGAAAACTGTTTATCATTTCTAAACACTTAGTATAGATAGTGTTTTTTGTGAACATATTCTTACTTATATATTGTATACTATTGTGTGTCTAAAAAAATTAATAATTCTGATAATGTAACAAAAATACTCTTATCAAATCAATAAGTTATGTAAAGTTACCTCAATGTATATAAAACACTGTTTAAAAAACATGTGTTTCCCAGGTTTGATAAAGTGGCAATTGGGGCCTTCCATTGTGTGCCTCCTCCATACTGATTATCCGTTGGATGGTGGCCATTCAACATGGCAGAGCTGGCTGGCGACTGCTCTAAAACTATCAGCTCAGAATCTACAATATTACAATAATTCAACTCTAGATTGCAGTGAACATGTAAATTTGAATATATTTGTAATATGCTGCACAAATGGTTTTGTGCGACCAAAGAGGGACGGACCATGCTCACACAGCATACTAGCTTGACAAAGCAGCGTAATGTTGCTGTGCTATAGCAATGACTAGAGCCACTTGGCCTTTTTATTGGCAATTGGGCATTCCATTATTATCTTCAAGGTGTAACAATGCATCTGCATTTTGATTCTTAATTGAAGATTGATGGCAGTGCCTGTGGGTCACAGGAACAAGGGTATACATCCGTATTCACCAGGATCCATTCGCCATCACTTGAACTTTACATGATGGTGAGTGGATATACAATTCACAATATGAACTGTGTGATCATTAATCATGATTCACATGTATAAACATTTAAAAAAAATTGTAAAATTGTCTTATCAGAAGAAATATGTAGGTAATTTACATCATTATTTTTGCCCCAAATCATTTGTTGGCATTAAAGTTGGTAAAAATTACTTCACGTACATCTGCTTGATAAAATAAAATGATGTGTCTTACCTAGTTTGAAGAGCACCTCCCGCCCTCCCTCAATTGTTTGCACTATCACCGTCAGCACTAATTCCAGCACAACTACACTAAGAAAGACATGCCACTGACAACAATACAATACGTGTTTCGCCTACACAAGGCATCTTCAGGTGATCTAGACTCTAAGCTGGCTCGCCGCTCACTTAGCTGTCAGCCACCGAAACATGTGTCGTATTGTAGTTGGTGGTGTGCCTTTCCTAGTGTAGTGGTGTTGGGAGTAATGGTGCTGGGATTAGTGGTGACGGTGATAGTGCATGCAATTGAGGGAGGGCGGGAGGTGCTCTTCAAACTAGGTAAGACACATCATTTTATTTTATCGAGCGGATGTACACAAAGTAATTTTTTACCAATTTTAATATAATGGACTTCCACAAAGTAACGCCTGATTCTATTAATTCATTTGTTGGCATGTCTTAGCCACTTAAACTTTTTTTGACAATGTCAACACTTTAAGTACTAACCATAGAACCGACTAGAGTTTTATTCAATGTCATATCCCAAAAGGTTCTGATTTACATATACTTATCTTTTACCATGCTTATCTTTTAATAAATATAAACAAATTATAAACAGCTACAAGTAAATATATATATAGCATGTACCAATAACAATTTATAGTTTGTGTGAGTTATAACTTCAGTACTTAATAACATTTACATTTAAATATTTAAGGAATTATAGCATGTTAAGTTAATTTTTATAGTACCTACAATGTATTTATTAGAAAATGTATTACGAGATTGTTTTTTAAATCTTTAATTAGTGTTAGAAGTGTAGTGTTGAAATTCCTTTTCTACAGTTTCTTAGCTATTATCACTCCCATGACTAACATTACATTGGCAGAATTTTAAAAAGAAAATCCTTAAAATAATTATATACTATAAAATGTAGAGGATAATTATTAGATTATATAATACAAATCTGAAAAAAAAAGGAAATATTACAAGTCAAAATGCAATGAAATGATGGTAGTCTAATGCATTATTATAACTGGAAAATTTGATAACACAGGTTCGAAAAGTATGGTCATTCGGACTACACTTTACGTTATATTTTTCTGTCTATTTAGAGATAGAAGTCATTTACAATATCTAAGTTAATTCATAATTATATATGTATGTGTAAACAAACTTTGTAACTTTTTTTAAAGAATAAAAACTATTTATATTTTAAATACAAACTAATTATAAGGTAAATGCAAGTAAAAATCTAAAAACGAAAACAAAATAACTGGCGAAGTTCACTGTTACATACCGGTAGGTTTCGGAGTTTCTGTCAATGGTTTCAGTTTCTTCGCAGCATTCAAAGTATTAAGATAAGTGCCGTTTAGTGGTCGTTTCACTGGTTTATTTTCTTTATTCTCTTCGGACACTTTAAAAGAGCTAGAAGTATCTTTTAATTTATGTGGTCTTCTATTTTCGCTGCTCAAAAGTGTTGCATTATTTCTGTTTAAGGATAGTGGGAATTTAGACTTTTCAACACTTCTTTTCGTTTCCGAAACAGAATTAACTGGCATCTTCAGGATACCTATAACAAATAGACTAATTTCACGACGGAAAAAATAGTAGCTACTTTTCTACTTACTAGTAAGATCGGTCAAGGATGTCGGTGAATATATCTGTTGATTTAAAATACTCACGTGAAAGATTTTAATACACACTTTGACTTACATCCTATATTGTAAGATAATGCATTTCCAGACAGAAAAACTATAGTATTATGCAAGAATTCAGAAAAAATAAGCGCATATAGCCCCATTCGTAATAGACGGCCATATTCGTCATTCGTCATAAACATAGATTATTTCTTATATAGTAAAGTTCTCTGTGGTCATGTCATAAATTGCGTAATTGTAATAGATCTATGGTGAATAACCAAAGAGTATATAATTCTCAGATCTATATATTTAGAGAATAAGAACTAGAACTGTGGACGGAGAAAATGAACTATGTATTTCTTGAACCGTCCTCCAAGCTTCCTTTTTTAAGGATTTCAGGGTATTTTGCTTGGAATGAAATGGAAGTTGGAAGCACAAAAATATTGAAGGAGCAGAGCTATTGGGCTAGACAGAATGAAAGTCTATAAAATTATCCCTTTGGCATGAGAGAGGACCACCAAGGCCTTATTGAATATTTTTTCGGGATTTATTGAACATTTTGTCTTTGTAAACGGTTCGCTTGTTTATAACAATGGAACAGAAATATGCAACGGACTTAACGGAACAACGGACAATAAGTACTGTGAAAGTGGGTTTGCTAAATCCCTGAGAAGTATAGATTTCTCAACCCATAATTTACTCACAAGTAGTGAGTCTAGTGTTATTAGTAAAATTAATATAAATGAAAACTACTTACTTAAACTTCTAAAATCAACTGACCTCAATAAATCGGCTGGTACAGATAATATCCCCCGATATTTATACGTAACTGTGCTGAGGCTCTGGTTTATCCCCTAAAAATAATTTTTGAAAGATCTTTGTCCGAATCTTTTTTTCATACTAAATGGAAAGAGACCAATATCATACCAATTCATAAAAAATAATCTAAATTCAAAATCGAAAATTATAGGCCAATTTCGATTTTAAATACTTTCAGCAAAATATTTGAAAAAATCGTTTATGACCAAATCTACAGCACAATAGCGAAATGCATAAGTCACGCCCAGCACGGTTTCTTGATGCGGTGCTCGTCTGTTATTAATCTTGCGGAGTTTTTTGAGTTCGTTCTTAATAATATGGAATGTGGGGAGCAAGTTGATGTTGTGTATACAGACTTTGATAGCGTGGACTACGTTATCTTGCTCGCCAAACTAGAAAGATTGGGAATACATGGAGACTATGTTGGGTAAAATCCTATTTTTCGAACAGATTTCAGGCCGTAGTAGTTGATTCATATAGGTCTAATTTCATCAATATTCCCTCCGGAATTCCACAGGAATCTCATCTAGGCCCATTATTATACAATGCATTATATAATTATGACATAGTCGCCTGATTTGACTCTTCAAGCTATCTTTTATATGCGGATGATAAAAAGATCTTCTATAAAATTAATAATATCCAAGACTGGATTACCCTTCAAAACACTTTAAATAAACTATCGTATTATTACTCTGTTAATAATATAACTGTAAATGTACTTAAATGTCAAAAATATCATTCACTCGTAAAAATAAACCAGTAAAATTTAAAAATAATATTAATAATAAACTATAGTGCAAAAAGCTTACAAAAACTAGGATTTGTTCTACGTATTTGCAAACCTTTTTCGGACATAAACTGTATTAAAAGTATTTACTACGCGTACGTTCGAAACGTTTTAGAATACGCAAGTAGTATTTGGTCTCCCTATTATATAACGCACAAACAACAAATTGAAAGTGTTCAGGCAAAGTTTATAAGGCATCTGAATTATAGAACTCACACTTATTCTAATTATGTTACAGGTTGCCGAAAACATAAAGTAATGTCCTTAGAAAATAGGCGTACTGTCTTAGATAATGATGTTTTTGTTTAATATAGCTAATGGCTACCTAGATTCCCCGGTTTTACTATCTGTAATAAATGTAAATGTACCCAAGAAGCGTACAAGACACACCCCATTATTCGCTCCCAACGCCCGTAATTCCAACGATGCAAGAAAATCTGACTCGGATTTGCTCAATATATAATAAAAAATTCTCAAACTTAGATATATTTTACATGTCCAAAGATCAAGTCAAACAAGAAGTTCTCAAGCTTTTACGGTAAATAATTTCTCTATTCGCATACCTATTATTATAACATTAAAGTATATCTTATCATATGTTATTTATTGTTTTTATTTTTTTATTTTTTTGTAATTTAAAATAGATATAATACATAGGTGTAATTTGTCACACTGAGAGTCTAATAAATTATTATGTGGTATCTATATAGTTTTCTCATCTGATTGGGAAATATAAATATATAATTGTAAATAATCATGGTAAACGTACATAAATATCAATAAAATAAAATAAATACATAAATATATAAAAACCCAACCAGATGGAAGCCCTCGGCAGGGGAGACCAAACGGCCGAGGGTTAGGAGGAAAGGGAAAGAAACCGGCGGACGATGCGGGCGGTATCGAGGAGCACCGCCTTCTGCATTGAGCTTGGAGCGGTCCGTCACGGAGTCCCAGTCGCCTCAGATGACCCGAGAGGCTGATTGGCTTTAACCCAGAGACGACTACAGGTATAATTTCGGCCATCAGTCCACCCCCACATGTCGGTCACCTCGTGAGCCAGGTCCAGATATTTTGTCAGCTTATGTGTTTCGGCTTTCACGAGGTTCTATATTACTATTCTATATAGGTCATAAGGAATGGTAATGTCGACCAAAAAGATCCTTGACTGTGACCTTGACAGTGATCTGACTGTGATCGTTGACCCGGTCCATCGCCACAATATCAGGCTTATTCGCAAGAATAGTCCTGTCTGTGATGATGGCCCGGTCCTAGTAGAGCCTGGCGCGGTCATTTTCGAGTACGGCTTCCGGCAAGTACCTATAATACGGCAGTTTCCGATCCACGAGACCGTATTTCAGAGCGAGCTCCTGGCGTAGAATCCTGGCTACTAAGTTGTGTCTGTGCAAATACTCAGAGTTAGAAAGCGCCGAACAACCGGAGATGACATGCCTAAGTGACTCACCGGGATGGCGACAAGCTCGACAGACGTCAACGGTGCCATCCTTTAGGATGTATCTCCGATAATTGTTGGTCTTAATAACCTGGTCCTGTATCGTACAGACAAAACCCCGGGTTTCCCCAAAGAGGTCACCGAAACGTAGCCAGCGGAGGGAGGCTACTGTGTCTACGAAAGGCTCGTGTAGAGCCTTGTAGAACCTCCTGTGGAGCTCCTTCTCCTTCTATACGGTCTCCCGGTCGGAAATGCTCTGTACTGCCGGGTCCCGCCATTGCTCGTTGGCTAAGAATAGAGGGGTAAGTCCTTTATCACAAGAAATAACGTCCCTATAGTATGGATCATCCGCTCTCGTCAGAAAGTAATTACGGTGGCTGCACACTTCGCGATTATGCATGGTAAGCGCGCTTAAAAAGCCGCGCCCACCATGCTTCCGCGGCAAGTACAGCCTCATTATTGACGATCTCGGATGATGCATCCTGTGGGACGTCATTATAGTGCGGACTTTTCTGTCCAGAGCGTTTAGTTCGGTCTGAGTCCACCTAAGTATGCCAAAGGTATACATGAGAACAGGCATGACCCAACCGTTATATGCGTGCGTCTTATTCACACCGGACAAAAGGCTGTTAAGCACTTTGGTCAAGCGTGCATAAAACACATCGCAAACTGACTGTTTCATACCAACCTCATCTACACCGATATTCTGTGACATACCCAGGTATCGGTATGTTTCAGCCTCAGAAAGGGTCCTTATGTTGATGGGCATAGATAAATCTATGCCCTCAGAGTTAGCAACCCTTCCCCTTTCAACATGGAGGATCGCACTCTTATCCGTCCCCAGCTCCATTCCAATCGAATTGCTAAAATCACATGTGATGTTTAGCAATTCCATAAGATGGGAGCGACTGGAGGCGAATAACTTGAGATCATCCATGTAGAAAAGGTGGGTCACTTTTGTTCCTCCTTTCCGAAGCTGAAATCCTCTCCCGGAGCCTTCCAGTAAGGTACTGAGAGAGTTCAGAGAGAGGCAGAACCAGATTGGACTCAAACAATCGCCCTGGAAGATACCCATTCTTATCTTTATGTGGTTCTCCCCAGCCGTCATCCGCTGGCCTAGATGACAAAGGATCGTATACGCTGCCCCATACACTGCCCGAGGAAGTCTCGAACCGTACATTCAACCTTGTACAGCTCGAGGACCCTCTTAAGCCATGCATGAGGCACCGAGTCGAATGCCTTTTTGTAGTCTATCCAGGCGGCGGAGAGGTTCCGACGGTTGCGTTTAACCACCTTGCCAATGACCGCGTCAATGAGGAGTGGTTCCTTGGTTCCATGACCACCGCCCCTACATCCATTCTGAGCGCGCGACATCACCTGATTTGAGTTCAGGCGACGAGTGATTCTCGCGCTCAAAATGGATGTAAGTGTCTTGTATATGGTAGATAGACACGTTATGGGGCGGTATTTGGTCGGGTCTGTGGAATCCCGGTCTTTAGAAACCAAATGAGTGATCCCAGTAGTGAAGAGGCTCGGGAGCGACTTTTGTCGAGAGCCTCTTGAAACTGTTAGGCGAGCACAGCGTGACACACCATGAACCGCTTCAGCCAGTAGTGATGTAGTCTGTCGAGTCCCGGACTTTTCCAGTTCGGGGCCCTACGGACCGCCTCAACTACGTCATCCAACGTTATGATGACGGGGTCCGTGGGCGTAATATTCGCACACTGACTCGCCACAACTTCCATCCAAGGGCCCTCGCTGTGGTTTACGGGCTCTGACCACAGGCCGCGCCAGAATGCGATAGTGTCGGCCTGATTCGGTGCTGGGCCCTTTCCACGTACCATTGGTCGCTCCAATGATTCATAGAGCCTCTTCTGATGACTCTGGAAGAGACGATCGAGACCGTGTCGACCTCTCGGTATTTCGCCGAATCCGCTTCCCCCAAGCAGCGATTCTTTGCTTCAGGTCGTCTATGCGCTCCGTCAGTTTTTGCGTTATATCCGGCTGGGACACATTCTGACGATGCGCACAATTCTCGGCCTATTATTGCCCGACCTGAAGCTTATCAGTCTGCCGATGAGGGCCCTTGCCTTTGCGATACGGTCCTCAATCCTTCTTCTCCAGGCTGGGAT